TTGGGTCACTACCTTAAAGGTAAAGGTCACAGCATGAAATTGCAGCAAAATTGTGTCCGGCCCATAGCTTCATTATTTGAAGTCAAAGTTAACAACTATATCACAGGAATGATCAACATATTGAGATAATGTGTCGCATGCAACATTAAGGTCGCTACCTTGAAGGTCAAGGTCACAGCATGACCTTGCAGCGAAATCGTGTCCGGCCCATAATTTCGTTATTTGAAGTCGGATTTTACAACTTTTTCACAGAAATGATCACCATATTGAGAAAAAGTGTCGTGCACAATATTTGGGTTGTTTTTGCATTTTGAACTTTGTCTGTGACATAACTCTGACACTACAAGATGTATACCTTCATGTGTCCAAAACCTTTTCGGGGAGTATCATCCTGTTGAACCGGCTCTTGTTTTTAATGTTAAAATCGTTGCTTTGTATTGAAAATTGAGTACCATTCAAGCTGGTGCTAGGGTGCGTGAGGATTGTTGCACTTATTCATTATATACTACGTGAATGTGTATTCAAGAACTGAAGAGCTTAATTAACAAATTAACAGAATATTTCATGTTATATCGGATTATTAAATTGAAAGTAATTATATTCTTTTCTTATAAGGTTCTTATTTTTAAATCTGTTTGTGTTTATATCAAATTGAATGTTTTACGAAACAAATGTTTCTTTGCACAACTAAGATCCATAAAATATACTAGTTTCTAAATATTATTTTCTTCAAAGCCACGTAGTAATTGAAAGCATAATTATGCCTCCGGGGTGTCCGTTTTTACATCCGACAGGAGATATAACGTGTTTTCTGTCACATTCCTGATCTTGACATCACTGAGGATAGACCTTATTCCAGGTGTCGCACAAAGAGATTTGCTTACATACATCCATTTGAACACTATATGTATGCATGTCCATATGTTCTTTTACCGCCATTGTCTTACATTATAGATGGTTAACTAAACTTGATATTGTTGAGATAAAGTAACAATTGTTATGTAGAAATATTTGCCATATTTTATCTTGGGCATTTTAAACTTTTTTTCTGCTTAATCAGATGCTAAGAGCATGTACAGTACTCGCACTTTCCAGTAACAAAAGGCTTGATCAACCCGAGCCTGCAGCATTTTCATTTTTGTCGTTTTGGGTGTTTGGGGATTATTTCCCTTTATATTGTGTTGTACTTTTTCACATACATACATTTTACCATTACATCCTGTGCCGCTGGCCAACAAGTGCAGACCAACGTATTACCCTTATTTTATATCTGACATTGGCCAAAACCTTGAATAATACAAAAATCCGAACACAGAGATCCTCAAAACATGATGCACAGTGAAGAACATTGTTATCAAATTTTAAGAGATGGAAGACATAATTGCAAAATAAACATGATGTGCCTATCCTTACCGGGTTTGCAATAAACTATAAGCTATTCTGCTATTCTAACAACGTTCACATTTTGTCAAATAAGTTTGACATACTGTTTTAAACCGATTTTATACTGACAATACCCAGATCTTCAATCTTGCGAGCATTTACGTATCTCATGATGTACATTTAATATAATGTAAAGTACATGTTTGACACATCAACCTATAGAAACCAGACTTGCATTGATAACAATGTACCAGATCATCTATATAATAATTATTTAAACAATTACCATCACAGTTTAACTTGCATGAATAGCATATTTTATTTGTTAACTTGAAGTTCAATGTGCAATGGGAACACAATTTGATAAAAATAAGATGACCATATCTCAGATATGTCGAACATGTGATCATGATTGGCAGTCAATAGAATATTCTTAACACTATAAATACACAAACGATAATTAAAATACATTGGACTGATATGTTTTGAAATATACTTTTATAGTTGTTTTAGCTGTTATTTTCTTAAATATATAAATACGACCAAAAGACAAAATCTTCGTGCAGCCGAAACGTAACAAAACGTGATTTAAAATAAAAACATCTAAGGTATAAGACTCGTCCAAACTTAACACTCGAATGTTACTTAAACAGATCATGGATTATTATGTAGTACTTACAAGCAAATACTTTATAAGCAAACACTGCAAGTATAAATGATACAGTTTGAAAGAACGCGGTGGGTATGCATATTACTATCTAAAATTATCCAAATTTAAAAACAGAAAGAAAAAGAAACAAATAATGTAAAATATCAAAACAATGAAAGCCTATTGTTACGTATAAGTATTAAATTTTTATATGTAACTTAGAAATAAAATATAGATTGTTGTTGTCTTTATGAACATAGTATTTGTCACGCTTACTATTCAATATCAAATAAATATTTCCTAGTGGAATAACATTGCTCGTTAGATTATTGCTCTGATTAGACTATAGTCTGGAATATTGACATATTGACATATGCATACAATATCATTGGCTTAGTATCTGTCTGAAAAAAATGCAAAAATAGAAAAAACAGCGGAAATAACTAGTAAAGTTTAAAAAATACACATTTTATATGAAGTAACGATGTTGGATTTGATAAGTAAAAATGAAACAATTTTTACCTTTAATATACTACAGTAAATATTAAAATTCATTTTTTTTGTGTTGTAAACTAAACATATTATAAAGATTTATGACAAAATGGGTTAGTATGTTGAACATTTAGTTTATGCCTTTCGCAAATACAGGACTGAAATATTCGGAAACAACGTATTTAAAGAAATATAAAATAAATAATGTTGAAACACACACGAACCGTAGTTTTCATGCTACAGTAAACTATGCCTATAAATATTGCTTTACCTTAATGATATCTGTCCTTACAACATCGCTAGAAGGAAGTAAAGAAAACTACCTAAATATGGTATGTGTTGTAAATAATCCGTTCCTAAAGTTATGTAAAGATTTGAATATATAATATGCATCAGTGATCTCAGGTATAGCCCTATTTTAATGAAAATATAAGGATATGGAAATAAAGTATTTTAGTAACGGGGTAATGTACTTTTTTCGTGCAGAATATTTTATGTTATATCGGATTATTAAATTGAAAGTAATTATATTCTTTTCTTATAAGGTTCTTATTTTTAAATCTGTTTGTGTTTATATCAAATTGAATGTTTTACGAAACAAATGTTTCTTTGCACAACTAAGATCCATAAAATATACTAGTTTCTAAATATTTTTTTCTTCAAAGCCACGTAGTAATTGAAAGTATAATTATGCCTCCGGGGTGTCCGTTTTTACATCCGACAGGAGATATAACGTGTTTTCTGTCACATTCCTGATCTTGACATCACTGAGGATAGGCCTTATTTCAGGTGTCGCACAAAGAGATTTGCTTACATACATCCATTTGAACACTATATGTATGCATGTTCATATGTTCTTTTACCGCCATTGTCTTACATTATAGATGGTTAACTAAACTTGATATTGTTGAGATAAAGTAACAATTGTTATGTAGAAAATATTGCCATTTTTTATCTTGGGCATTTTAAACTTTTTTTCTGCTTAATCAGATGCTAAGAGCATGTACAGTACTCGCACTTTCCAGTAACAAAAGGCTTGATCAACCCGAGCCTGCAGCATTTTCATTTTTGTCGTTTTGGGTGTTTGGGGATTATTTCCCTTTATATTGTGTTGTACTTTTTCACATACATACATTTTACCATTACATCCTGTGCCGCTGGCCAACAAGTGCAGACCAACGTATTACCCTTATTTTATATCTGACATTGGCCAAAACCTTGAATAATACAAAAGTCCGAACACAGATATCCTCAAAACATGATACACAGTGAAGAACATTGTCATTAAATTTTAAGAGAAGAAAGACATCATTGCATAATAAACATGATGTGCTTATCCTTACCGGGTTTACAATCAACTGTAAGCTATTCTGCTATTCAAACAACGTTCACAATTTGTCAAATAAGTTTGACATTCTGTTTTTAACCGATTTTATACTGACAATACCCAGACCTTCAATCTTGCGAGCATTTACGTATCTCATGATGTACATTTAATATAATGTAAAGTACATGTTTGACACATCAACCTATAGAAACCAGACTTGCATTGATAACAATATACCAGATCATCTATATATTTATTATTTAGACAATTACCATCACAGGTATAAGTTTAACTTATGCATGAATAGCATATTATATTTGTTAACTTGAAGTATTATGTGCAATATGAACAGCATTTGATTAAAATAAGATGACCAAAACTCAGATATGTCGAACATGTGATCATGATTGGCAGTCAATAGAATATTAAATACACAAACGTTATTTCAAATACATTTGACTGATATGTTTTGAAATATACTTTTATAGCTGTTTTAGCTGTTATTTTCGTAAAGTAAATATATAAATACGACCAAAAGACAAAATCTTCTTGCAGCCGAAACTTAACATAACGTGATTTAATATAAAACATAAAATGTATAAGACCTGTCCAAACTTATCACTCAAATGTTACTCAAACAGACCATGGATTCTTATGTTATACTTACGAGCTAATACTTTATTAGCAAACACTGCAAGTATAAATGATACCGTTTGAAAGAACCCGGTGGGTATGCATATTATTTTCTAAAATTATCCAAATTGAAAAACAGAAAGAAAAAGAAACAAATAATGTAAAATATCAAAACAATGAAAGCCTATTGTAACGTATAAGTATTAAATTTTATATGTAATTTAGAATTAGAATATAAATTGTTGTTGTCTTTATAAACATAGTATGTGTCACGCTTACTATTCAATATCAAATCAATATTTCCTAGTGGAGTGACATTGCTCGTTTGATTATTGCTCTGATTAGACTATAGTCTGGAATATTGACATATTGACATATGCATACAATATCATTGGCTTAGTATCTGTCTGAAAAAAATGCAAAAATAGAAAAAACAGCGGAAATAACTAGTAAAGTTTAAAAAATACACATTTTATATGAAGTAACATTGTTGGATTTGATAAATAAAGATGAAACAATTTATTACCTTTAATATACTACAGTAAATATTAAAATTCATTTTTTTTGTGTTGTAAACTAAACATATTATAAAGATTTATGACAAAATGGGTTAGTATGTTGAACATTTAGTTTATGCCTTTCGCAAATACAGGACTGAAATATTCGGAAACAACGTATTTAAAGAAATATAAAATAAATAATGTTGAAACACACACGAACCGTAGTTTTCATGCTACAATAAACTATGCCTATAAATATTGCTTTACCTTAATGATATCTGTCCTTACAACATCGCTAGAAGGAAGTAAAGAAAACTACCTAAATATGGCATGTATTGTAAATAATCCGTTCCCAAAGTTATGTAAAGATTTGAATATATAATATGCATCAGTGATCTCAGGTATAGCCCTATTTTAATGAAAATATAAGGATATGGAAATAAAGTATTTTAGTAACGGGGTAATGTACTTTTTCGTGCATTTACACTTGCAGAAGCACGTTGACGCATTCAAAGCCCGGATATGCAGAGCGAAAAATTTAATCAGATATAAGTCCGAGGGCTTATGTTTGCATTCAAGCGTGATCCGGTCATTTCTCGTAGTATAAAGGAACTAATTAAAGTTACTTTAATTATTTAAAGTGCCACAACTGACCATGATGCTTTTCTTAAAAATTAAAGAGAAAGGAACTTAGTATTTGATACCTGGTCCTCATGGAAATCTGTAAGAATGTGTGTTTTTTCTCTCTTAAATATATACCTTATAATGTTTTTTTATATAATATCAATATCTGTTTATTCTGTTTATTACTGCATTTCGTTACAAAAAAGAAAAACAATTTACAACTGATTTATTTCTCTTTTCTTATAGATTGAGCCTGATTGAGTAATGCGTGAAATCAGGTTAGAAACTTGACCTATTTGTTCTTAAGTAAATCCAAAAGACGTTCGCTTGCACACCATGGACTAAAAACGCAATATCAGAATATTGCATAAGAACAATTCAAGTCGAGGCTGCGTTTCATAGAAAGTTGTAAGTGTAATTTAAGTCCTAAGATGTAATCTTACTTAAACAATGAACAAATGACCGCTTTAATATTCTTTACTTAGTCAGATACTTTAGACTTTGATTAAAATCGTCTTCCTAAAAAAATTTAGAAAAAACAATAGCGCGCGATTTAATCCTCAAAATGTTATTTTTTCATTATTAATTGCATTCAGAAGTTAAAGGGGTCATAACAAAGGAGTCATAATCAGGGACATTTCTTTCAAAACACAAACTTATCTGAGTTTTGGAAGAAGACTGATTTCAGATTTCTGAATTGCTATGTTAAGCCTTTCAGAACTCAAGGCAGTATTCATACTTGACATAGCTGCTGTGCTCAAGCGTGGATCCACCATTTCCACAGGTTCAAAAAACATTTCCTGTATCTTGATCATCATAATGGAAGGGAATTCATGATATTATATCGTGCCTGGTTTTAACAGTACACAGACATAGGAAAGTGTCACTTCCTCGATGCAATTTAAAGAAATTCTGAAATATTTACTTCCAGGAGTTTTCTCAATCGCTTAAATATAAAAATATTCTTAACCGTACACTAAGGATTAAGCATTTAGGAAAATTCAACATGCGAATAAGCTAAAATAGACATGAACGGCTTATAGTGTTAACGCATAAAGGGACAATACTGCCTGTTTGGGATTAAGAATATAATACTTTTATCACTACCATAAAATATGTATCGGATAAAAGAAACATCAAATACAGTTTAACAATTCATTCTGTCACTGATAAATCACTTCAACACATTTGTCTTGCATCTATGACAATGTTGTTCCTAGATCTGAAAATAAATAAATAAATATTATGAGCAATTATGAAATGAATTAGTTAAACTAATCATAAATCTAAATTTATCAAGTGAAAAATATAACAATTACCATTGTACACATTATCTGTGGTCCTATTATTACTCAAACTCTCGTAATTATTAGTCACATCAGCTGACTCAGCATTTACAGCTCCAAAATCAGTTCTAGTGTTATAATATGTTGGAATCTCAACGTTATGTTTGTTATCTTTGGGCGTTTTACTTGCCAGATACCTGTATTAAATAATGAAAATTATAATGGTGTTATACATTTTTTACATATCAAGTGTATTTTAATAATAGGTAAAAATGCAAACAAGTAACAACCGACATAATCAATTTGATAGTACAAACAAAACAATTAAATAATTATTAAATAGCGAAAATAACATGATGTTTATAACCATTGTTATTAAAATTCATCAGTAAGAGAATTTGTTTTACATTAAGAACAGTCATCTTGTATAGTATTAAATTAGAGAATACATTTACCTTCGTCTAATAAGGTTTAACAACACAGCAAATACTACTATGGCAGTACAAGATCCGAATCAAGAAAAATAACCAATGGTAAAATTGTTAACATTATCGTCACACCGCACACATGTTTGTTGTTGGGTTACAGGATCGGTTGATGTTGTTAATGTGGCCGAGACTGAAATTTCTGTAGATATAACATTGACGAGTAATAAATATTACCCTTACTATGATCTTATATTCTCGTCATAAACTGCACAAACAGTCGTCTAAGATCAGGTCAAAACACAAAGCTCAATCGGATTGAGCGCGAGACTCCTAATCCTGACATTGAGGGTTCGATTACAGAGCTGGCAAACTATAGTTACTAAAACAGTATTTCGGATCAATATCTCTTAAATGCTACAATAATACGAAACAATAGGAGGAAATAATGACTTTATATCTATGTAAACTTAAAATTTGAGTGAGAATGATTGAGTATTATGAGCGCATTACATCTTATTGTTACTTAACACGAAATAAAACATTCAAACGTACAAATTAGTGCGTGCGCACGTAAAAGTTCAACATCAAATGTGTACTTACACGTGTAAAAAGGTAAATGGTACTTCTTATATCCCTTAATAATACCATAATAACGGACGTACCATAAGAATATTCAATATTTAGGATATTTATAAATTTGATTAATTCATATGAGTTTCTTATTATTTAATTATAATAATTTTGAAATGAATTGTTACGGTAATCATACGCACCTTGTTTACCGATTGTAAAAGTTTGTGAACATCCTTCTTCTGTCAGTCCATCCTTACATCCATCTGTACATGTACCGTTGTTTCTATCACATTTAAGACCTTTGCATCCACTAGGACAAGGTTTTTCGCAGGTATCGCCCCAAAATGTTTGGTTACACTCATTTAAACAATATCCGTCTACCTGTTCACATGTATGTTTATCACTTATTACTATGCATGCCGGGTTGCAGTCTAAACTGCAATCGGTTGAGTAAAAATTTCCTTTACACAGTAGACAACTATTTCCATTATCTTTTGAACACTTTAAACATTTGCTGTTACATTGTTCGGAACATTTCTCACCAGTCCAGCCTTCATTACATTCTCCTTGACATATTCCAGTACTATCACAAGACGTAGAACATTCTTGTGAGCACAATGATGTTTTTGATCCACATGTGTTACCATTAAATATTTGTCCTTCTGGGCAATCAGCGCAGACTAACGAATCATTGTGTATTTGACACTGATTACAACCTTGAATAACACAGTAGTCCGAACATTGCGATTCTTGCAAACATGACACACAGTGAACACTGTCACTAAATGCAAAGAGGTGAAAACCATTATTGCAATTATAACATGTTTTGGCATCCCTACAATGTTTACAATTTGACGGACAGGTTTCACAATATGTTTCGATACCGGATTTATAATCATAATATCCAGCTCTACAACCACTCGAACATATACGTAAATCACATCTTTCATTTTCACATAAACTACAATTGTGTTGACATTGATATCCATAGAAATCAGGTTTACATTGAGTACAATCTCCAGTATTATCATCGCATTCACTACTTAAACAATTACCACCACAGTTGAAAGCACATCTTGCGTGTAAACCATATTTCTTTGGCTTACATAACGTACAGTCATTGTAACTGTTACAGCTTTCACAATCTTGAGGGCATGGTGAACAGAGGCCATTTGATAAAAAGTACGATGATTTACAACTTGTGCAAGTTGAACCAGAACATGTTTGGCAGCCAACTGTACATTCTGTAAAATAAATAAAAAAATTGACTGTTTACATATCCTTAGTTATATTCATAACCATGTATGCAATATAGTAAACCAATAATATCATTACCGAGTTTAATAGACGTGACCATAAAAAGAACTTAAATAAAATCTTTCTCTTCAACCGAATACTATTAATATTACCCCAATGGATACAGTTTACAATATTTAATGATACATTTATGACAATAAGAAAAAAAAATTCTATTGTTAAAATTTTTCGAAATAGAAATACTTACCGGCAAATACCATATCAACAAACAGTACTAGTACTAATGCTGACACTTCTTTAGAAAACATGTTTCGTATCCACGTATGCAATATAATCTAAAGAAAAGAAAAGTTTACATATTGATAATGGTATGGCCAACTCAATACTTTCAAATATAAACTTTGAAACATAATTACACAATGCTGTTATTTCTCAATTTCTTTCTTTGGTTATGACACTTATAGTATATATTATTAGTCTTAGAATTCACATAATATGCAGTGCAATAAAACAGTTTTAGTTTAGTTTTAGTGAATGTCTACCATAAAGTATAAAGGTACTTTTAAGCTTAAACAAAAATAATGAGACATTAAAATTATAAGTTTTTAAAATGATAAAGAATCAAAATGTTCTTACATTAATATTCTATCCATTTTTTATAAAGCAAAATATATTATTTTTTTAATATCACTATACATTATTTAAACAACAATGATGGTAAAGCATACCTATCTGTTTAATCATCGCAAAAAAAAAAACATTTTCAAAACTTCCTCTTGACATTATTGTGCATAAAATATAAAGGTTTGAATTTGATACAATATGCATCAGTGACTTTCTATATGGCGCTTCTAAGTACTAGACGCTTTTTAGATGCATGAGCATTTATACGGTCGAATACATTTACAAGTTTTGAGCTTTATTTTTACAAATATTAACTTTTAAGTAAATAAATAAAGAATCTAAACGCCATGGATTTATTATCTTAGTATAATTAAGTATCGTCGCGCATTTGAAAAATCTATTACTCGAATTGAATTCAAGTATTCATGGCGCTGAATTTATTAAAGAGATAAAATTATGAAGTAATGAAGTTTAGGTCGCCAATTTGTTAAATTAAGACGGTACTTTGTTCATACTAGTATTTTAAAAGGACCAATTACTACACTTCTCAACAAAGTGTTTCTAAATTCAAAATTTTACTATTTCATGTTTAAATGTTGAATTCTGCTTAAGCCGGTGCTAGGGGGCGTGGACGGTAACTTGCACTTTCCAGTACCGTCCATGAACAGGCTCAATCAAACCGAGCCTGCAACATTTTCAATTTTGCCGTGTTGGGCTTTCTTTAGGGATTCTGTATTTATGTATTTTAAGTTTTTCTGTTGTAACTGTAGCGAAATGAATTTTTTTGAAAACTATTTGAATAATTCACTTTCGAGTCTGAATTAAATATTTTATTTGCAAGATTTCGAGTTGCTCATTTATGTTGAAACGGAAAATGTTTTAATGTGAATATGTTTAGAAATACTTAAACATGTTAAGTAGATCTGTATGGTCAGTCGGAACTACTGAGTCATTCCTTAATCAATAAATCAGCTTCATTTTCTAAAACTTCATTTACATTTTAGTCAGGTAAATGTTTAAAAATGTTTTTCAATTTCCCGTCTTGTTCGTCAAACTTCGTACTACACAGATAATGTACTCTAATATACGCTACAATCTTAAAACATGTTTATAAATAGTTAGTAAACGCCTTTTTAATTATACCGAACGTTGTTTCGATCCATCATTTATGATTTTGGCGTTACCGCCATTTATATTTTAAAGCTAATTTCAGTTTAATATGACACAAGTAAATTGGTTAATGGCTCAGATATACACGGTGCTCATTCATTTCGAAAATTATTTTTGTTAATCGATATTACGAATGATCAGAATTATTAATGGTACATGCAAACGTTAAATAACACTATAAACTGTATACACCAAGTAGGATTAAGTGCATTAGTTTTAACTACCGCTATGAGCAATTATTACTATTGATAGAAATGCCGGTATTCCGAATACTTTGAAGCAATATGCATGTATGACATTTTGTAAATATGTTAGTACAATTACTACCTACACCATTTTTCGCCAATTATGTATGTATACAATAGCAATAAGTGTACCAAAATGTAAACAAAATATAACTGTAAGCTGAAGTTTACATACTTAAAATTTGGTCTTATTTGTCGGGAGGCTCATGATTGTTTGTCACAACATTCTGTCTTTATACCATCAGTTCAGTATGGTGTTTCGAATTAATACCTTATACTATGTACCATGTGCAGGTACATGCGAGAACTGAAAGGACTGATTTACATTATAATCTATAATTTTTTTGACTTCTTTAAATGTTTTTATATCATATGTAGAAATACAGGAAATAATCATTTTTTTAAAGAAATTCAATAGTTATATGCTGTAACTATGTGTTTATACAGAATACTATACTTAGCGCAGGTTAGAAAAAAACAAGTGTTCTATCATTATCCAGTGAAACAAACTTTATTTCATACTGTGAACATAATATCATGAAACAGTAAAGAATTAAAAAGAACATCTATAAATACAAAAGCTATAGAAAGCTCATTTTTATACCTAATACACAATGCATACAATTTGCTATTTACATCAGTATCATCAGAATAATCATGTTAAATGTTATTCAAACATAGTATTTCAGTGCAATTTACCGTATACTTTAAAACAGCAGGTGTCAAGTGTTGTGTGGCAGCCGTCAAAAGTTGCCCCGTACTTCACTTCAGTGTTCATATATTTTATAATCAATTAACATTTTAAAATCAACAAAAAGTATGTGTGGTTACCTATCTGATTAATCCATTTTCAAAACTTCCTCTTAAAATGTTGCGCATATAATATAAAATTCTGAATAGGTATATTATGCAACATTGACTCTCTATATGGCGCTACCAAGCGCTAATGTTAGACGCATGATGTATCTTAAAGAATGTATATGGGCGGAATCACTTCGCACATTAAACTTCATAATTTTAAGATTTCAACTTCAGTTGGCAATTCACGTTATTATAATATTAACTTGATAAAGTATAATGTCATGGATTCATTATAATTGTATTTTCGCGAATTTGCAAAACATACTCTATACTAGTAAATTGAATTCAAGAATACGTGAAGTAAAACTAATAACTCATGATGCATTTTAATTAATCAATTTGAAACTGTTGAGTCAAAATATATGTACATGTAGTTTAAATCGTGAACTTGTGAATCTCGGATCGCATAAAATTGAATACATTAACGTTGTCCTTTTTGAAGATTTAAAATGTTAAACTGTAGGAAAGTTTAGTAGGTAGGTGGGTAGGTAGGTAGGAAGATAGATTCGAAAACGGCGAATAGGTGAACATTAACGTGAAAGGGCGAGGATGATTGTTGAAATTTGTCTGGACGTTAGTGACGTCAATTGCAATTGCAAGCGCTACGAAGGAATCGACGATAAACGGTTCGCTAATTGTCTGGCGTTTTATGTCTGCTTCGGGTCTACTTTTTACAGTTTTGACAAAAGAACTATATACTATTATATAATAGATTTTTAACAACACTTTTTTAATGTATTTAACTAGATATAGGTGTAATCAATAAATTAATATAAAAATAATTATCGGTAATAATAAGTAGTGTTTTCCCAAATTTTATTTTTATAATTAACTGTGCGTAGTAGAAAAGGATACCTTTCAATTGATGAATATTTCTATGAAAAACGTACGATGACATGAAAAAATTAAGAATATAAATCGCTTTTGTATTAACATTAAGTCGATTCCTATTGAGTATCCAGGTTACTCAAAAAAACGAGAAAATAATGACCGGCTATCGGGTATTTATTTTAATTTTTCTTTAAACAGTGGAACGAGAATGTGACCGTTTTCTTTCTCGCTTCATCTTCACATATGGTCCTAGTAATAGTCACATGATTCATACACGTAGAGCACTTTTTTGAGAAGTATTTCAGAAAGAATGACGCTTGTTACAATTTCTATTTATTTTACAACGTCATGAACGTCAATTTTTGTATTGTTAGCGTGTGCCGCGTTTCGTATCCCTTGTCATATGTTCTTTACAACTAAGATTTATACATTTCATTTAAACTCATGAGAAGAATCAATAAACCGAGCCTGAAATTGTAAACTGTTTTCTTATTTCGTTGAGGAATCTTCCCTTTTGATAAAGTATAGCTTATGCTGTAGTCTTTCCAACCGTGTTTTACAGAGTATGCTTTTAGTTTATCAATTAATTATGATACAACTATATTTGTAAATACTTATCCTTTCAGAAATTGAAATCTTTCTTAAAAAGATGTATAGACTATTTTCAAACAAAATCTCTTTGCTATTTATACAAACCATTATTTTATTACCTCCGCTATGAAGAGTTCTGAAATTGAACATTCATGGGCGTGAATTCAATACCTAGAAGCGTCTAAATTTTATTTCTTTTTTTAAATATTATTTATGTATCATTCACATCTGTTTTGGAAAGACAAAAGTGTTTAATTTTGGTATATTTATATAAAACATATATATTTATTGGGTAAATAATGTTATAGCAAATATGGTATACAGTTGAGGAGTGAAATCCGTTTTTGCACAAGCTTAATTATATATCGCAATATGATTCATTTTAAATTTCAACCCGTTTTTGAACATTCCTGTATACCAAAATATATTTTATATAAGAGTGCAACCAATTTGTGTACATTCGGAAATACCTAAATTATATCCAGTTGAAAGGGGAAACCCGTTTTGGACATAACTTGATAAATACAATATAAGAGGGCAACATGTTTTTTGGTTTTGCATAGGCATAAATACTGTTAGGTGTGTGGCAGCAGTTGCCCGTACTTCACTTCAGTGTTGTCATATTTTTCTGGTTCTCCGGGGACTATTAAGTACTGGGAATTGAATATCGCTCATACCGGTGCTAGGGGGCTTGAGGGATGATGCGCTTATTCATTATCCCTCATTTACAAATTCAATCAAACTGAATCTGCAATTTTCATGTTATTTTGTTGTGATTAATGGTTCCGAGGGATCACTTTGTTTCCAGATCTTTATACAAAATAAATTTAAAGAGTGTGACACGTTTTTGTACATGTATTTATAAATACATAAAATGTACCTTATATAATTATATTAAATTCAAGAGTACACTACAAAGCCACACCTATATAGCCAAAACAGATTGTATTGAAGAGTGCAACCCGTTTTTGCACATACCTATATAGCCAAAATAGATTGTATTTAAGAGTGC